GGGGATGTCTCCAGGTGTACGTGTGCCCTCGGCAGTGACGCCGCCGTGTGACTGGGCGCTTCTCCTGCGGCACAGAGCCCTCTCCTCGCCCCCGAGGGCGGCAGATCCCCCCCCCCCCCCCGGGCTGATCCCGCGAGGGCTTTCGCGGGGAGGGGGGCACCGCTCCCTGCCCCTGAGGCGGCGGCGGCCGGGCTAAGGCTGGGCGCCACCCGGGGCTCTGCCCCCTGCCCACCTGCGTTCGCTCTCCCTCCCGCCTTTCCTTCGAGGTCGGGGGGATTCTTCCACCGCCTGAACCCGCGCCCGCTGCCCGCAGCCGAGCGGTGCGGGGGGACGGGGCCAGGCCCAGGCTGCGGGTCAGGCCCCCGCCCGCCGGGGTGTCCCCCTGCCCGCTGCCTGCCCCGCTTCCAGAGGCGGCTGCGCGGCTCCCGGTGCCCCCCCGGCGGAGCGGGCGGAGGCAGCAGGAGCGGCGGCCCTCGGCCGTGGGTTTGCCATTTGGGGGGAGCAACGCAGAAAGTCGCTGGAACCGCGCGGACGGTGCTTTGATGGTGTCGGTAACGCGGGGTGAAGCTACAGACAGCAGCCGAGGCGTGTAACGTGTCCGAGGGCTTCTCCGTCCTCAGAGCAGTTAATTGAAGGCCAGTTAATTGGGCTGTGTACAGCTCTGCGCCACAGAGCAAATGAAGCAGGACAACTTTTCAAGGTACTCGCGGGCTTTTTTTAACAAATACCGCGCTACAGCTTTTATAGCGTCCACGGGCGAGTGGGGGACCCAGCATCCACTGGAAATGCTGATATGGAAATTCAACAGGGGTATGAATTAAAAAAAAAAAAAATCAACCAACAACTTGTATCCCTCCCACCCCCCAAAATATCCCTTCTTTCCAAGATGAATAACTGGCGTTTGGTTCCTCGCTGGCCTTCACGGCCCTGCCTGGATACGGTTAACCAGAACAAAAATTCAGCTTGCAGAAAAGAATCTAATGACTACAACAGGTGGAAAGATCTTGTCCCGCAATTTTTGCTCCCGGTTTTTCCCTTCCATTTCCCTCCCGGCCGAGTGGAACCTTCCCGGCTGCTGCTGCACAACTTTCCTGGCCCCGCCGGCCGCCTTTTCGCCCAGCGCTTTGCACTTCACTCCCCGCCAACGCTGTGGTCTTATTGAGGGCCACTTAGCGCTGTATAAACCTCGGCTTCACCCGCTGGGGCTAGAACCACATCAGAGCCGGGTTTAACAGCAACCTTTCCAAGTGAAACTTGCCATTTCTTGAACCACCGAAACAGGCGGCTGATCTTGCAACTGGATCTCTTGAACTTGGTTTGACACTACAGTGCTCTGGCTGGGTCCCACACGCCGTATGGTGAAAGGTGCCGGACTTTGGGGTTGCTCTGCCTCCCCAATTAGCCGACATTATCCGTATATTACATATATATATATATATATATAAAAAGATACTGCAGGGGAAGAGATATAGGTTTACTTTTTCCCTCCGTCTGGGTTGTTTATACAGGTGCGGGCTGAACGCTTTCCCTGCTAAAGATTAATGGCAGAAAGGGCTGAATTTCTTTAAACAAAGAAGAAAATGGTACCCAGTCTTAAAAGCCACGATGGCAAATCTCACCTTTCGCGCCCACCTCTGCCTCGGTGGATTAAAGGCGAAGCATGAGGAAGACTTCGTCTCATTTAATGAAAGTATTGGAGGCGGGGGGAATAGCCAGGTCGTCTTTGCCTGCCTCTTGGTTAGTAAAGGAAATGGGAAACGCAATGGAGTTAACAGGGAGTGAACCTCAAGGTTACTTCGGATTTACACCCAATGAATCCGAGCAGACCTGACTGCTCTCACATCCATCAAACTGCTAATTTCTGCGACCCTGACGAAGATATCATTTTCAGGATAAAGTCTTTGATGGGGCCAGGGCATTACATCATGCTTCCATTTGTCAGGACTTTGATCCTTTATGCTCTGTGTGTGCTGAGTAGGGGAAAATGTCCCTGGCATATCAGGGCAGCATTTTACGCCCGTTATCAGGTGCAGTCCCTTTCCCTTTTCTCCCTTGAAAGGTAAAAAGCACGACCTGATCTATGCCCGGACTCCGAGGCCAGCATCCTCCCGTGTTTCAGGGTCCGTCCCCGCAGGCTGCGTGCGGTGCCGGGGCAGCCCGGGTCTGCAAAGCCCAGCGTGCGTGTGGAGGGAGAGGAGCAGGAGCGGGAGCTGTTCTAGCTACAGGGAGCTCCCCGTTGTTGGCCCTGAGGCCACAAAAAGCAGTTTTTCTCTGCTGAGGGGAGATCCCCCACTCAGGGGGATGCGCGCTGGGACGGCGTGCTTTTCCTCACGCTTTTGCAGACGGCATTTTGGTAAATACATTTAACCAACGGACCCAAACGAAGAGGAGTCCACCGACCCCAGGCTTCTCCTTTACCTTTGCAGCAGATCGGGGTGTTTCGTGCTGCACCTGAGGAGCGGCGAGGCAGGGCGCTGCGCCGGGCGGGCCGGAGAGCATCCCCGCGCAGGCCGGGCTGCGCCGGTGCCCGGGAGCCGCCGCGCCGACGACCCGACGGGTCTCCGGGCTGAGGCAGAGGGGGTACAAGCCTTTTATTTGCTTCCTAGAGCTGCAGAATAAATTATGGCCAAAAGCAAAAGAGAAAAAAGGCCAGGTCTGTAAGACGCAGGTTATCTTCGAGGGTAGGAGGGGGAACCGCTAAAAGCCCCACGTCTTTCGCATTCATCCTCCGGGGTGTCGGCAGCGACAAAGCAGGGTGGAGGAGGGAGATGATGTGTTCTCGCTAAAGTGCTTTAAATAAGGCTTTCCTTTGGCATTTGTCCTTTCCTCGAACTCAGCAGCGTTACCGACTCACTTCGCTCCGACCTAAAGTGCACTCCCACCTTTTCGGAAAGACCTTAGTGTAACAAGGGCGTTTTTACCCACTTTCTCGCGGCGGTGAGAAAGGCAGGATGTCTGGGGGGAGGAGGACAGCGTCTGGCAAACGTCTCAGTCTAGATCTCCCCACAAGCGTCTACAACACACATCCAAGCTGCATGAAAGGCGTGCAGGGCTTCTGCCACGAAGGGATGCTTGACATTGCTGGTCCTGTAGGAAAAGCAGGTGGATGAGTTGTAACCTTTGTTAAATGCCACCTACAGCAAATACGCCGCTGCATGGCTCAGATTCCCCCGGTAAAGGCACCTAGTGAAGGGAGAAGTGTGCGGTGTCCCTCATTCCCTCACCGGTCCTGCCCCCGCTAAGAACGCCTGTACCGGGAATGCTGTTTGCTGCAGCCCGTGCCGTGGGTGCCGTGTCCTTAGCCAGAGGTCTGGCACAGGTCGAGGCACCACTAAAGGGTACCCTTTCCTATTGTCGCTTCCTAAGGTGACAGCGCCGTGGTGCCCGCGTCCCGGTCCCCTAGCAGCCACCTATCTGGGGATGCTCCGTGTGAGCTAGCCCCGCTCCTCTGGGGCTGGGGGGGTGGGGGGATATGGATCCTGAAAGCGTCACGGGGAATGCAGGAACCGCCAGCCCGAGCAATTATTGGAAATGAGTGCGTGCCTGTGTGTATCTGGGGGTGTGTGTGTCCCAAAAAAGCGGCTTCCCACCATATAATAAAATTAAAAACTACTCAGTGTGTCAAGCCATGTCAAATAAAGCAAACAGGGGATAAATGAACCCCTGGAAGGAAAAAAAAAAAAAAAAGACTATTTACTAGAATATATTTTGCCTAGCGAGCGCGAACCTTCTCATCAAGGCACGCGCTCAGTGATTCACTTGGTGAAGGGACTACAAACCGGGGTTAAAACCCGCCTCTCCGCCCCACTCCTCCGCGCCCCCAGGCAGCAGCCGGCGGGCCCGGGGCTGCCCCGCTCCGCTGCCCGGGAGCTGCGGGGCCGTCTCCCGGTGCGGCGCAGGCAGGGCTCTCCCTGCCGCCGGGGCAGGCTCTGCTCGGGCGATCGCCGGCCCGGCGGAGGAAACCTCGGCTCCGGCGGGACGAGGCACCGGCTCCGCCGGCGGGGGCTGCCGGGTGCCGGGAGCGGGGAGAGCCGCCGGGGGTCCTGTGCGGGGCGGCTGCGAGGCTGGTTTTACCGCCTGGGCTGCGGGGAGGGTTCGTGCTCCTCGCTCAGCAACCCTGAGCGTAAGTGGGGACATGCTTTAAAAGACAAAACAACCCCCACCCCCCACCCCCCGGTTTGTTCTTCGAGCCGCTAATTTCCCCGAAGGGGATCCCGCCCCGCAGCACAAGGCGAGAACATCTTCCCCGAGGAAAGAAATCGCTCCCCGTTATGTATTCCTTCTCCCCGACATTTCCAGTGCGAGAGCGCCAGCGAGACGTTATCAACTGTAAAGGATCGCTGCTTTCCCCGGAGTTTGGCCACCAGTGAGTTTTGCTCAGGTATCCCCAACTTTCAGCAGGGTTTCCCCTGTGGAATAGCCGGGCAAACTCTCTAAATACCTCCTGGCGCCAGAAGAAAGTTCTCATGTAATAGATACCCGCTGGTGTGAGAACACGGATTCTGCTCATTTTGTCAATCAGGCCGGGGTGGGGGGCTTTGAGGAGGGGGAGATGGAGATTTCGTTTAATTAAAAAAAAGAGAAAGAACTATTTTTCACTAATTCAGTTTTTAGAATGATGCCTGGAGATGTGCTGTTGGCCTAAAAGGACCAAAATTAATGGTGCCTTTTAAAGCACAGTTTATTTCTTCTCTTGGAGCAAATTAGCTGGAATAACAAGCAAACATCAGGCAAGAGGAAACACTGTGTTAGTCTCCTCCTTGTGTTTCACTCAAGACGGAAGAGATGGGGAGAGATAACACCGCTACAGCACTTCATTATACTTGAATGCTCCAGCACACTCGCTCGCTTTGGCTGGGCTGCAGCAGAGCAGATGGAGGAGTGCGGCTTCCCAAGGAACGGCTAGCGAAGCCAGTGGGGGCTCTCAGATGGGGGCACACAGCCCGTGAGACAGCTTTGCGGTCAGCAGGGGGAAA